AAGCTCCCTAATCGCCCCTTCTGATTCAAGGTGATGCAAATGAGTAAGCAGCTCGGCGGATGTTTCCAAAAGTGATACATGGCCGTAATCAATGAGTGAAGTTTTCAACAGCTGCCTTTAAAACAAACCAACTTTAATTCAATTAATTATCAATGCACTTACCCCATATTGTGTATCACTGGTTAGAAAGTCCTCCTGGTTGCTATCGGTGTATCGAGACACAGGGTGAAAGACAGCTAAAAGTGTGACAATAGGCACCACAATCTTGAAAAGCTGTAGGGAGGAGAAAAACGCAATGCAAAAAAAATTAAATACAGAGCAAAATATCTGAGGGACAGAGATTGGTTTCAAAGAGTTTCTATGCAGGAACTGGATAGCAAATTTACAATCTTAGCAATATCCCCTGAAACCAGCCAAGGGCAATGATCCATCAATTTTCTATCCAGAAAACTGATGGGCTTAGCAGCCTTTAAAATGATCAGAATAAGTAGAGTACATTGTACGTCCCTTACCATCAGGAACAGGTAGGTGATGCTATAGACAATCTGGCTCCGGTTCTGTTGAAAGTGAAATCAGAAGAACACTTCTTTGCCTTATTTTTCAAGTAACAGCAGATATGTCTAGGAATATACCATGACCAAATTTAACGAGTATCTTGAGGTGACAGGGCTTAACTTTTATCTGCAGTGCTAATCCGCGGGCGTGTTATGCCCAAAATAGCGGTATACTGTTTAAAAACAGTGACGGATTACCTTCGAAAAATGCAAGCCAAAAAATGATGCTAATTCCCAGCAGCAGGTCTTTTATTCCGAGTACGGTCTTTTGTTACAAGGATCAGCTCTGGCAGCAAGTGGTCAATGCTGTGGTATTGGTTTTATGGTAGAGTATTTCCATTACGGAACCTAACGTCCATTTCACCTGAAAGGTCTGCAATAAGTACAGCCAAGAGTATGTTAACTTTTTTAAAAAGCCCACAGGAATCTCTTTGCGAATGCCAGAGTTGAGTTTACATCTATGGCAAAATACACTTTAAAAGTGAACACAAGTTTTGTCTAAAATACATTTTGTTGGAATGTCTCTTAACTGTGAAACAGTGCCATGAAACCAACTTGTTTCAAAATAAAACAGCTTCAGAAAACGGGTTTCTCCACAGCAACATTTCCTTTACATCTCTCACTATGATAGATCACATTCCAAAGAAGCAACTCTTCATTTGAATCAGCCATATCGCCCTTTCTCTTGCACTGGGTGATTTGGTCATTTTTTCATTGTTCCTTTTCATTTTGTATTTCTATTTTGATATATCTTCCATTCTCCATCTCACTCTCTCTTTTGCAGAATATTACAGCTTCATTAACTTACGTAAATATCTGCACAACTGGCATTCTGTGGATCTGAAAAGGTTCACAACAAAGGTATACAAAATATATTTAAATATGATGAAAGCAATGTGAATTTCAAAGGGCATTCTTTACTATTTGTTACAGTCCTAGAAATGCCTGAAA